AAAAAAAGAAAATAGGAGCTGTATTTGAGAACCACTGTGGAAATAGCATGTTATCACTAGAGAGATTTAAGTACACATAATAAAAAATATTAAGTAAAACTATGAGGAAATTCTAAGGAGATATTCTTAATAAGCTAAAGGAAAATTATGAAAAAGCCAACTATTCTAGAACTCACAAAGTTCATTTCTTCACCACATACAATACATATTTGAGTTCAAGTGCCTGCTATTATCACGCACTTTCCCAGATGTCCAGGATACAGAGTAATCAAAACATACCAAAATCCCTGCCTTCACAGAGCTTGTATTCTAGTGTGGCAGACAAAGGAAGGAACAAATGAACGAGTGAGCGAATGAATACAGCATGCAAGACAGTGCTAAGTTCTATGAAGAAAACAGAACAGGAAGATATAATCATAGCCTCTTCCTGAACTACCTGGTTTATTTTACATGGCTTTCAAAACGCAACACGAACGTTATGTCTTTTGTGAGGACTTTCTTGCTCTTTCCCTCATGGGAGTGATGTGATCATTGTCTGCAGGCCATCAGTACACACACATGTATATATCATGAATACATACAAACACACGCACCTCCATTCTTCCATCTAGTAAACACGTATCACACTTACCTCCACTCCTTCCAGCAATACATTATAGCACTAATCCCCAACCCACGTAATTATTTGTTCTGTATACGTCTCCACAGCAGACAGGGATCCTGCCCCTCCACCCCAGTTTTATATCTTCATGCACCAGGACTTAAGTAAAGATTAATCAATCAATGAGTAAAATGAAAGTTTGAACTTTATTATAAACTGTATTTAGGCATCCACATAAACTCCTGCTAAGAAGGGAAGCACAAAAGAACCCTGGATCCAATCTCTAGGTAGTTTCTTACATTAGCAAGTTTAGCACAAACCCTTTAAGGGCTCCCTTCATTCTATAGGGAAAGGGAAACAAAGTCCCCTTCCAGGGTCGACAGAGGACTCCACAGGCAGAACAAGCAAGCTAAGCAAAGAGAGTTGGTAAATTTAGAGTAGGGTACCATGAATACGCTATGGCTTGAATTTTCAGTCTTTACCAAAGAAACAATCACACAGGTGAACCACTAAAATGCCTGAAATGGGCTCTAGCCATTCCAGTGTGACTAAGAGTCGAAGGCCCATTGTGAAAGATGAGTTCACCACACATAAAAAGCATTCGTCTTCCCTTGATTCGATCAGACACCGCACTGAAATCTCACATACATTGACACTGACATTTAGGTGCACTCACAGCCTCTGGAGAGACTCTTGCCACTGAAGAATCTCACACTCGACATGCAGGCAGACCTCGCTTTATTGCACTTTGCTTTATTGTACTTCACAGATACTGTTCTTTACAAACTGAAGGTTTGTGGCAACCCTGTGTCTAGCAAGTCTGTCGGTGTCACTTGCCCAACAGCATGTGCTCGCTTGGTGTCTCTGTCACATTTTGGTAATTCCTGCAACATTTCCATT